TTTCGTTCAAGAATGAAATGTTATTAAAACTTTCCATGTCCAGTTAGTCATCTGCAACTATGAAATGTTATTGAAACTTTCCATGTCTAGTTAGTCATCTGGAACTATCTCACATCCTTGATTGATTTTTTTTTTAAAACTACCACTCAATTTTTAAGTTGCTGGAGTTTGTGTGGAATGAGCGTAGTTGATGGAATCTCCAGCATTTTGACGCTATTATGTGAAGTATTATGAGGTTATTTTGTAGTCAAAATCTTGTATGTTTCATTTTGCTGGTTTATCTTTTCATCTTCATTTTCTGATAATAACGTGTATGATTTCAAGGGTAGAAGTAGCTAAGTTGCTGTGTACTTAATTATCTCTAATCTCCTATTGTGTCTGATAGATGATCGAGGTTTTTTTTCTTTTTTTTTTTCTCCTGTTTAAATTCCCTTATTTTATTTTCATGGCTTCAGCTTTCACTACTCAACTCCGATCATGTCGACAGTCAGACTCCCAACATCCTGCTTGATCAGAAATGCTACACCAAGGAAATCCTGTGCCCTAGTTCAGAGGCCATCTTCCTTGGGTTCCTTTAGGAATGTATCCCGTGCATTTGGATTGAAGTCTTCCTCATTCAAAGTGTCAGCAATGGCTTCTTACAAAGTGAAGTTAATTGGACCAAATGGTGAAGAGAATGAGTTTGAAGCCCCTGATGACACTTATATTCTCGACTCGGCTGAGAGTGCTGGATTGGATCTACCCTACTCTTGCAGGGCTGGGGCTTGCTCTACTTGTGCAGGTCAAGTAGTTTCCGGGACAGTTGACCAGGCGGATGGATCGTTCTTGGACGACCAGCAGATGGAGAAGGGGTATGTCCTAACCTGCGTAGCCTATCCACAATCCGACTGTGTCATTCACACACACAAGGAAGGTGATTTGTTCTGATTTCTTTGTTTGCATGCATTTTATCAGTTCAATCTGATTGAAACTTCAATCACTCTCAGACTCTTTTGTGCTTAGTTTTTGAGGTTGATATGTCAATCACTAGAATTGTGTTCACTCTACTGAGAGTTTAGATGCTCTGCTTTAGCTAAAACGGTGAAGCTTTGAACAATATTCACGAATAATAGACAAATGCAAATTTGGGAATACCCACTACGGATGGATTTGGAGTTTCCAAGTAGGTTACCAAATCTCCTCTGCCATCCACTTGTACTTTTGGTAAAGTTAACCTTTAGCAAAAGAGAAGTGTTGGCAAGAAATTATGAGGGGTAATGATGGGGGCAGTCTCTTCTGACCATTGACAACTAAGCCTCTAAACTCTTATTTAATTCGTTGCTTGTATGTTTTCTTTTTCAGAAAGGATTTACTTTTCTTTTTTTTTTTTTTTTTTTTTTTTTTTTTTTTTTTTTTTTTTTTTTTTTTTTTTT